AGATTTTGGATAAGATTATTTATAATTTTCTATTGAAATTTGAATGATACCGATGTGTATTTAAATACCTACACATAATTGTAATCCCTATTTGCATCCAGAAATATTACATTCCCCACTCCGAAAGTCTACAATTTAGACTTTAGCAACTCTAATACATGATAAAATATTATAAATAATGTCTGTATCAGATTCAATTTTTATATTTTTTCGTTAAAGTTTTATCGAAAAAATCATTTCCAAACGAATTCAAATCGTCTATGGGGTTTATGCCGCGAGAAAAAAAAACTTAGCATGACAGTAAAATCAATTAATACTGATCAAGCAACTTAGACTACATGCGTCATGGAAAAAATAAATAACTAGTAGAATTAAAAAAACATCTTTAAAAAAAAAAAAAAGGAACTCGTTGTGTAACCTCGTTAAGAGTAACTTAACTTTTTAACTCGTTAATGCCCAGCCTTGTGTGTTATTATTATGCTTACCAGAACGACGACATACGACGACATCGCGAACTGTGATTCTGAAACTATATTGCATATTATTATACACATAGAAATAGCTCAGAGAAAAAGAAAATTATCTTTATGCAGCAGCAACAGGTACAGTAATAGTTGTTGTTGTAGACAGTGCCCTCTGCTGTATAGCGGCGATGACGACGATGACGATGATGATAATAATAATGCTCGCGAGTGACATGATCTGTCTGGCTCGTGTAAAATAATAATAATAATGACGATAATAATACCGTTTGACCCGACTACCCGAGCGATGAAAAAACAAAACAAAAAAAAAAAAACGCGAAATCCGTGCCGTGTTTCGCGGCGAGTCGAAAACGGATGTATTAAATAATAATAATAATAACGTATGGGTGGGTAGGTGTTAAGAAGGCGTTTGGTAGCCGCCGCGGGTGTGTGCAGTTCGTACGGCTGCGATATTATTATGAGTGAAATTTCAGCACCCTCGGTAATACAACAGCGGGGTCTGGTCGCGTGGTCTATGGGATTCGATAATAACACGGTGTATATCCACTACGATATTATAATAATATTATTAATTTACTATTCGAGCGGCCGAGACGTTATAATTTGTATTCGATTTCGATACAGCGTTTTTCGTGTGTGCCGTGAACGACTTTCGTTACAAAACTCACGATTTATGGTACGAACAAAATGATAGTTTTCTCTGCAGCAGTGCTAGTCGAAGTGCGCGTAACATTTTTATAGATATTTATCTCGCAATAACTTCTCATTTAATAAACAATAACAATAATTGTTCGGGGCACTGTCATGGTCGGCATGATGGTAGGTACCTACTACCTACAACAACCATTACTATACCTTTAGCAAGCACCGCGATAATAACACTATAATAATGACAATAATACATTGGTATACGGCCGCCGCCGCCGCCGCCGCCGCTGCAGTACTACGTATTTATTATAATTCGCACATAATATTATGCAAATGTAAACTGTTGTTCGGGGACTTACCTCGCATACGATAATATTTCGCCGGTAATCGGCGATTAAATCGTTCGAACGTATTAGACGCGCTCGTAAAAAATAGTAGTTTCGCGAATTTTAAGAATAGTCCGGCGTTGCAATTAAATGCTCGCGAAAAAATGTCTAGTTGGCGTGACGTATTGTAATGGTTCGAATGACGCGCAACGTTCCGGAAGCAGTTACCAACTGACATCGGACAGGTACCGATAAATAAGGGCTGACGATTATGTTTTTTTAAAATTATTTTTTCAATATTTTACCAGTTTTGGTCGTCAGTGATGAGTATAATCATGGTTTTGTGTAAAAAGTATCATCGTGTTCACGACAATGATAATATCTGGTAAAATAAATATTAAATTGAACACACAATGTTATTATTACGCGACAGCTCAACGGATATATAATGATAACAATATTGACACTATCAAAATGCTTTCTTTTTTTTACTTCGAAAATACGTCAACTTTGTTTTTGTAGATGGAATATTCGGAGACAGAATGTCTTTCCAACTGTCACTGATTTGTTATTTTTGTATTATTCACGCAGTCGCACATGCATGAGGGCATACGGCCCAGGTAGGTACATAAAAATAAGTATTTCACGTAGATAGATGTTAAATATTATTGGAAAGTGATTGTGAAATCAAAATACTTTCAAGGAAAAAAAGTTTTTATTGCGGTTTGAGGCATCAGATCGAATGCAATAATTTATGGTATTATCACATTTAACACTATTTTCTCTGGCGTCCTAAAATTTGTTTAATTTAATACTATAAGAGTATTGTTATTAATACATTTCAAAACTGAACGCCTGAAAAAGAAACTCGTTGTGATTTTTAATCCCCAAAAATGTGTAACTCCGTAACGATTACGTCCTTGAAAATATTATTGTGTTTTATGCGCCGGGCGGCTTTGGCGGGTATTAACTTTCAAATTCATTCAGGTATAGTTTTCTTGTGGGTTTATGATCGCGATATCCGTGTGAACGCGTTTTTGTTGAGTTCTCAAAGCGTTCGACATGCCTATATACGTCAAAAATATCTGTGTGTTAACGTTTTATATGTATTTTTTACGCATCATGGCGGTAGGCCATCAACGAGAAGGACGTGAGGGGAAGGCAGGCGAAAAGGGTATACTATAACAGGACATGTAATAAAAATGAAAAATTTTGATTTTAATTTCAATTTCACTCGACAGTCATCGATGTTTGTTTTCTTCTGGTTTAACTTTACAATAATATATCGATTTTATAATCTCATGGTTTTTATATTTTCGCACGATATTTAATTTTATTATGTTTTGTAATTCGATTTTGATTTTTTTATTCGATTTAAATAATTTATGTCCCTTTCTTGCGTTTTTAATTTTTAATTTATAATTATGAGAAATCCGCCGTCGTTTCGACCGTTGCGTAACAGGCCTAATACAACGAAATATTAGTTATGTATTATTATTACCTAAATGTAGTAGGTAACCACGTTATAGACCTATCAGCTATTGATGATTTTTAAACTTTAAATCGATTTGTACTAGTATATTATTATACAAATTATAAAACGATTTTTATTCTTTTATAAATCATCGATTTACATTTTTTTTAGATTTCAATAGGTATAAATGTTGAATGTCATTATAATAAATATTGGATTTTGATTTCTTAGATAATTGTTGACCATTTTTATCGATATTTAAAATAGATTTCAAGCCCACCTTATATGTATATAAATTTCTCGTGCGACGAAAAAAGGATAGTATGATGTGATGTAATTCGTACATTTTCGTGTAGAAAAAGTAAATCGCAAAAATATAATATGGGAAACGTTGCAGATCTAGTTTGGGCCCTCGAGCTACAGAGAAAATCTCGGTGTGCCGCTCATAATATAGGCCGGTCATGAGTTTTTTTTATTTGATAATGAGAAATTAGTACAAACATCAGTAGAAAATATAATAATTGAATCGAATTATTCAACCGATCAATAACTGAAGTTGTAACGTTAGAAATCCTAAGACTAGGTGGGTTAAACCTTTACTAATTACTATCCGGCGCTAGTAACACGCATAAGACCACATGAGACGTATGCCTATCTGATAGATGTAAAAAAAATACAACATCTACGCATTATATTTAAAATATTTTACTTTAATCGCCGCAAACCGGATACGTATCCGGGCGAAAAATAATGATTCGTTCCTTCTGGCAGTAAAACGGTAAAAATTACGTAATCAGTAGATAAGTACTATGTTTAAGAAGAATTGTATTATATAGATACGTCGTTAAGCGTTCAGTCTTCAGTGAGCAACGAGCGGCTAATGATGACAACATCATCTTACCTGCCTAGTTGTGCTCTGTCAAAATACGTTTTGTCGTGTTTGCTGAACAAAAATTATAGTCATTATGGATTTTGGTTTTTTAATTATTTGTCTAATAAAAGTCAGATTTAGGTTTGTCTGGACTTGTAGAGAATGCCCTACATTGTGTTTGAAACTCTACTTTTATAAATTTTCACTTTAAATAGTGTTAATATTATGCCATAATATTATTATTATTACCTTTAATTCTGTCTAAAATAATTTGTACCTACGATACGGTATTATAGAAACGTTTTACAGTCATAATTATTATATGAATTGTATTTAGAAGGTTCATTAGTCATTATACAGGTACCATAAAATTATTTTATTTACGTCGTTAATTTTATTAATCTTAAATGCTTATGAATTAGGTATGATTTATTATGATAAGTTATTATGTTATTATAATATATTTTTATTCCATACAAACTGTGTGGGTATATGCCATAAAATATAAAGTATGTACCTGTGTTGTATAATACTGAAGATAACTGAAAATAAACTATAAATCCGTACAATAATAATAATAATAATAATAATAATAATTTAATACAGCAGAGAAAATATAATTTAGTTGTAAAAAATTATTGTGACGACTTTCTTTTAAATACCTACACGAAACCGTTTAAATTCGTAAGCTTGGTGTTTTTTTTTATGACCCTGAGAAATAGATCTATATTATTATAGTTTCTTCCGTTCCACTAGTATTGAACTGCTACGTATCATTTTACAGCCGATGAAATTTGATAAAAATAATAATAACAATAATATAACGAGCTTACAAAAAATCCTATGTATACATGTCGACTTCGTCATGAGAACGCTGATAGCTGGAAATATCCATTATCAGAGTTTATTTTTGGACATTATCGCGACTGTTAACATTATTATTATTATTATTTTAATCAGCTGTATTCATATTATTATTGTGACGGTATTAATGTGGTACAGACTCGTACAACAGTGCGCTGAGTGAAATGCACTCAATTCGTCGGAATGATTAAGAATCGTATAACCAATGTGTTCACTGAAGTCAACCTTTATTGCATTAATTTGTTATTTATTGGAAAAAAATGTAGAAATTGGAGTAGTGTGAATTATTTTTATACAATATTGATATTATATTATTAATTTTTTCAAATTAGATCGTCGAAAAAGTATTTCGACTTATTGACAAGGATTCAGACGGAATCATCACGCCATCACAGGCCATGGATTTAATAACTACGATTACATACTCTTGCAGGTAATAATTTATAATTCAATAATTGCTAAAATACCAAATATAAGACGACCGTAAAAAAAGCACATTCGGAAAAAACAGTGATTACATGATTATGAATTTGTATTTTTGTAAATAATTTTTATAAAAACAGTTAGTTTATTTTCTGTCTTGATATTTGGTTTGGAAAACGTATTCAATAAATTAACCACTGACGTCTAACTGTTTAGAGTGAAATCGGGATTTGACAGCGAGAACCTGATGTGGCTGGAACAGTTATTTAGACAAACTGTCGGGAATGAAATGGAAATTAAACGGGACGATTTCAATAAAATTTTAATCACCAAAAACGTAAGTACACACCGTTCTATCGATTATATTATTCATATCCTCTTACCCCCTTTCAAAAACTCTGAATACGCCACCGAAGAATCTCACCATTTCGATATAAGGGGCACTCCACGGGCTTAACGGGAACCGTCTAAAAAAAAAAAACAACGAAAAGTGCCTTCCTATGCATTACAATAGGCATAATATTATTAGAGTGCTACACGACTTGATTTATTATTATTTGATTTATGTATAATAATTTATAATACAACTATACTACAGCAGTATACCTGTTGCCTACTATTAAGTATGAGGTGTTCTACTCATATAATATATTCTATAGCCATGTAAATTTGGTGCATCTAATTTTATTCCACACACAAATATTAAGTAAACATATAATCATGGGCGTATATGTTTTAATATTTGTATTTATAGACAGAAGCGCGGTTATAGACTCTGGCCCGGAGCGTCAAATATTTAACCGCCTTCAACTTTAAGATCGAAATATTTGCCAGTATATATAGGTACAGACGGTCCATATTATTATTATTATTTGTAATCCTCGCCATTACACTGGTATAATATTATTTCACCTGTGGGATTTGCGCAGGAAGTGGTTTTTTAAGTTATTAGGTATTATTATCATTGTAATTTAGAGCGGCAATTTTACAAACGCCTTGAAGTTGAGCAAATATAAATGCACCGCAGAGTGTAATTTCACCGACTCGAGAAAATGAGTATTAGTTTAATAAAACTGTTAACTATGAATTATCACTATCTAATACTGCGATACCCTGTAAATAATGCCTAACGAACTATGATTGGGATTTAGAAAATTGAAAATATAAAACATGTACCTACATAATGGAGTTATTAGGTAGCTTATTGTACTAAAGTGTAATTTTAATATTTGTTAATATCTATAAATAACATAAAATGCATTTATGTAGGTTAAAGAAAATTAATACATACCTATGTAACAAATGTTGCAATTTGTAAATATAATTATTTGAAACAATTTTAGCCATTCTTCACTGAACGTGTATTTCAAATATTTGACAAAGATAACTCTGGGTCAATATCTTTACACGAGTTCATTGATTCAATGCACCAATTTGCAGGACAAACTCCAGATGACAAAATTCGATTTCTGTTTAAAGTATACGATTTGGATGGTATGTTAATTATGTTCTTGCATTTAATTATTATAATATATTGTATAAGAATAATTAAACTAAAAATATCTTAACTGTGAACTATTTCAACTTTGATATTACAGTTACTTCACGTAATTTTTATCTGAACTATGATTAGTTAATAACAATACTCATAAAATAGTGTTTTCTTTATTTGATTCTCAAGTTTAATCTCGCCAAAAATGTATTCTAATATCAAAAGAAAAAATAGTCATGACATTTGTCGTATTCTTCCGCAATTTAAATACTATAATCTGTTAATTATTTCTAATTTCATTATGACGTATGGTCAATACTAAATTACCGATGATTTGAATACGAAAAAAAAAAATGTGTACTTCGTTTTCAACAAACCGGGAAATTACAATTATATTAGTCTTTATAATTTTATTAAGACCAAAAAAAAAAGTATAAAGTAAAAAAATCATTTGCTCGAACAATTGAAATTCGTCCTCGGAACTTGCAGGAGGGATGAAAAAAAATGATAACCACAAATCATTTCGGTAATATTTGTTGTTTAGGCGACGGTCTTATACAGCACCGGGAATTGCAGCATGTGATGCGTGCTTGTATGGAGGAAAACGGAATGCAGTTTTCGGAAGATCAAGTGGAAGACCTGACGATGGCGTTGTTCGAAGACGCCGACAGCGAGTCGAGAGGTGCCATTACGTACGAAGCTCTCAAGAATCAATTACAAAAACACAACGGACTATTGGAAAATCTGTCGATAAGGTAACATAAACCGTCGTTTGTATTTTGATAAGGAGTAGGCATACCTATATAATCCACACGTCCGATATTGTATCGTTATATAATCATTTTTAAATTTTTTTTTTACAATATTTATGTAATATATTTATGTATGTTTGATATTTTTATCACTCGTTGAAATAAAAAGTGTTTTTTCATCGAAATGCACGTCATAATAATAATATCATTCCATGCGATAACACTGTACAGCTAGAATTATAGGCGTCTGTAATAGATTGTTAATATATTTTCAGCCTATAGATCAGCCCGTCTGGTAAAATATAAAAGCCGTGTTTTAGTGCTCAAGCAAGTTGTTATAATATTACGTCCAAGTCGAAGGCTATCGTGAACGATAAGTAAAATAATATGAATTAGTGTTGTTTTCATTTACGAAACGTGCAAAAAAAAATAAAATCCATCACGAATGAACGTTTTCAATTTGGTATAGCTATTATGTATTTTTTTTATGGAAAAGCCAAATAAACGTTAGCTGAAAAGAAACCGATTAATTTTTAAATTTTTTTTAAAACCAGAATCGCATTTTATTTCATTGGTTGGGGAAAATTTCTCTGTTTTTTTTTTAAATATTGTAATTTACTTAATATGTACGAGTATATTAGTTGTAAATATTTAATTATTTTTCGCCTCAAGGGCGCTACTGAAAATTGGTTGTTTCTGTATTACACATTAATTGAGATACCTACCTATACCTATAAAATACTACGTAGATTATTATTATGGTAAAATTGCAGCTGTCCGTAATTCACTTATTTTAACTACACGGTTCAAACTTAAAATTTAGATATGGGTATGATGACCTATTATTAAAAATATCGAGAAAAAATTATCTTCAAGAAGTTTAATGCATTTTTTATTTTCAAGAATGTATGTTATTATAATACAAATAGTTCTTAAAAAAAAATACCTTATTTAAGTACCTAAATACCTTCATAAAAACTTGATTTTAAAATTATGAAACTTCTGCCAAATACTACAGATTTGTATATTCGATCATTAGAAACTAAATATGAAATAAACAATTAATGTAAAATAATTGAGGATCGTCCGCCATGTATCGGGTTGAAAAAAATTCCATGGTTATACAATTTGCGAACTATTAGGGTAATAGGTATTAGGTGGTATGCTCCTACATATGCCAAATTGCGTTATTTATTTTCAACAAAATATACTTTAATATTATGCAGTTAGACATTAGACAGAACACAATAACTTTTTAAATGTATTTTCATCGCAGATGAAATTATTATGGACATTGAAAGACAAACATAATAATACATTTTTTTTTTTTCAAATTACCTCAAACCTGCCATTTTTTGACTTTGTGTTCCACGACCAATGTAGGGTCTCCATGCCCATTTCAGTCTTCTGAAATAGACTTCTTTTGTAATGCAAGGGTGTTGAAAAAGGTCTAGAAGTTCTTGATTATGTCTTTTTCTACATTCACTGGTCTGATTATTCTTGTATGGTCCGAAAATCCTTATCAGAATTTTTCGTTTCAAAGGCGCCTAACCTTATTTTTCTGTTTTTTTCTGAGTGGCCATGGTTCTGATCCCCATAATATCACTAGGCGTAGCAATGCCATATATATATCTGAGCTTTTAGATTTTTTGATACAACTTTTGAACTTAATAGTTTTGTCAATCATAGTAAAAATTATAACCTTTTTTAACTCTCATAAAAATCTCTAATATTATACGTCATTGTTGTTGGTTAGTATTGATCTTAAGTAGTTGAAATGAAGACCCTTCCCCAACTTTCATTGTATAATTTTGCTGGAGATTAACGGCACTGCAGGTACAAAATACAATATTATTATTTATTATTATATTATATTTTGAGCTCTTCGGTCTATACGACTCTGCAGTATACTACTCTTCAGTACGACCCCATCGACAGACATCACGAGTGATGAATATATTATATATTTATAAATATTGCCGAAACACTTGTTGATAAAACTACACTACTGTTTTTCAGCATAGACCGCTGGTTAGTACCGCCAAAGCCAAAACAGCCGCCAGCCTCGGTCTGGGGAAAAATCACTGCCTTGCGACCGTACCAGCTGACGTTGCCGTACATGCGCAACAACTACGTCTATCTGATATTCCTGGCCGTCTATGTACTCGTCAACACGTTGCTGTTCGGTACCAGGATCTATCAATATCGCAATTCCAATATCTATACGATTCTCGCTAGAGCCTGTGGTAAGTCATCCTACACGGTTTACTATTAATGCGTCTTAATCGTGTCGTCATGTTTTATAATTTATTATCCGTGAACAGCTGCGCACAGGCATAGCTTATGATTATAATACAATACGTTTTAATATTATATGTGCACTATTATAGACTTTATTTGTGTTGAGGACCGCCTTTTGTAGATTTTGAGTAAGAAATAGTAATAATACGAGTAAAATAATGTTAGCCAATGCCCAATACTAATGGCCGTGGAGCGGTGGGCGGAGAACTTACGTAATGAGCGGGTGTGGGGTACAACCGTGCATTGCGTATCTTCTGTCTTGAAAACGTACCTATGGGTACAAGTGTACAACATGCCAAATTTTACGACCATAATAGACCATTTTACTAGATAGGTTTTTTGAGATTAGAGTTCACTTATCAACGGTTTATAAAATATTAAAGTAAAATGTATAATGTATCACTATATTAATTTCATATGTATTCTTTTTTTCTATACTATATAGTTATAAGTTTCTACTTAGTGTAACAATTTATTCCTAGAGTAATAATTATGTAAAATTTATTGTAGCCATTGGCTTCAGTCGCCGAGGCAGTTATTATCAATAATAATAAAATATATGTATAAAGGTGAGATGCAGATTTTTTTATAATATTTTAATTTTAAAACAAGTTATGATTATTTTAAAATTTAAAAAAAATATACAGTTTTAAAATACTCATAAATTGCTCCGTAATTAAAATATCAATGGAATACTTTGAGACGACTTGGATGATGTTCTTCCCTTATTGATTGTATACAGGTGAAGTCAATCTTAATTGTATGATTAACAGAGTAAACTAGTATATTGTGAGCGTACCATTTACCATGTTGTTCGTTCGTTAGACAGAGGCAACAACACGATGGTGTGGCGTCCTTTTAAAGGGATTCAACACTTTCTGTGTTTTCTATAAAAGTTTAAAGTGCATCTCAAGTCAATCGTAAAACCTGGCCTAGTAATGGAAAATAACTCCTGAAAAGGCATAATTAGCAAAAAAAAATATATAGGAAATAATATATAAAGACAATTATAAATATTTTTGTAGCTTATTATTGACATATACATGCACGTGCGGTGAAGGGCTCTGTCATTTAAATTACGCTGCAATCACACACACTAATGATCACGAACTTACTACTCACATGTTCACAAATTGAGTTGGAAAAATTTGAATGTATTATTAACTACATTGAATTCCTTAAAAATTGTCACAGTTAAATCCCCTTAAGATTTTTTATTTAATTCTTTCGAGCTATCCAACTATGGTAGGTGCTAGTTCAAAACACCGACAGTGAAAAGTAATAATTGAAAAAAAAATGAGATCAAAGTATTTTTATTTTTAAACTAAAGCGGGTTGAATGACTTTTATATTTAGTCTCTACTGTGAAATACAATGAATATATTTTTCTTCGTTTATATTTTTTATTGCAAAGTAAACCGAACCAGCTTTATATCGTTGTTTTGCATAACATTTTATGCATTTATTATAATTTAGGTAGTATGAAGTTACATGAATCTATTTTGTTATTTTATATTGATTTGCAGGCCAGTGTTTGAACTTCAATTGTACTTTTGTGTTGGTTCTCATGTTAAGGCATTGTATTACGTTCCTCAGAACCCGTGGATTCTCATTGTTTTTGCCCTTGGATCAACACATATATTTTCATAAGATCACGGGTTTTTTCATATTTGGTTATAGTATACTTCACACATTTATGCATCTACTAAATTTCAGTAAGTTCTTCACTTTACACCGTTTATTAATTTTGTGCCATTTCGTTACAACTGTTCTAATTATTTATACTTACTATAGGTACCGTCATAATATATGATCCAAATTTAAATTACGAAGGATTCACAGTGTCAGAATGGCTGTTTACCACCGACCCGGGACTTTTCGGACTCATTTCTGGATTTGCTAATCCCACGGGTGTATTGCTAATCGTTATCCTGTTCGTGATGTTCATTTGTTCACAGCCATTCGTTCGCCGAGGAGGATGCTTCGAGGTTAGTATAGTTAAAACCGGATTATGGTTTATTTTCCTAGATTATCATATTTTCACAATTAGATTTACTGTTAATTTTCAGATATTTTATTGGACTCATTTACTGTACGTGCCTTTTTACTTACTTTTGATTCTTCATTGTCCAAACTTTTGGAAATGGTTGATCATTCCCGGATTATTGTACTTGTGTGAACGTTTTTACCGTTTCTCATTGATGCGTTCCGAACACGGAAAAACGTACATTAGTTCTGGTCTACTTTTACCGTCTAAAGTCACGCATTTGGTAATAAAAAGACCACCACATTTTGATTTCCACCCCGGTGACTATGTTTTTGTGAATATACCGGCAATCGCCAAGTATGAATGGCATCCATTTACTATAAGTAGTGCTCCTGAACAAGAAGGTAAATGTTTATATTAAAATACAATTTTCATGCCTGCATTTTGAAAGTATCGAAGTAAACAATTATTTTTGTACAGATTATATGTGGTTGCATATCCGTGGAGTCGGAGAATGGACAAATCGATTGTATTCATATTTCGAAGAAGAACAGCAAAAGTTACATTTACTTAACGAAGAACTGCCTGGTTCCGTTAATAGCAAAACTTCCTCTGTAGATACTATAGAATCTTCAAAAATTAAAAAACTACAAACGTGTGTTTAACGCTATTTAAAATAAACTAACTTATACTCTTAAATTAATTACGATATTATACATAAAAATGACACAGGTCTCTTCAGAGAACATTTTCAGGAAGAACTGTGGAGGATTCTGCCAAAGGAAAATACAAGAAAGGCGGTGATTTTAGCTATACTAATCAGAGTTTTAGCAGTTTGCCAGAAGACTTTCAAATTAGAGGTTCGGAAAGCGATGGCACTTCTGGTAACTCAAAAATTCCAATGGGTAATATTAAATGCTATAGTGTTTCTTGATTAATGTAATTTATTAATTAATATACATAATTAAACGAATACGAAATTACTTTCAAATATTAATTCATGAATTATTAGAAGCGAGAAAATCAGTGAAAAAAGCTCAAAATACCAATCTCCACAAACTTGTTTTGATCAACAAGGCTCCACTGTCGAAATCATTGTCTATGCCTGATATGGAAAATCGTATTAAAAAGAGAGAACGTCTATTAGCGTATGTGCTAAATATTTTGTATTTTCTCAATGATATACATTTTAATAAAATCAAAACTAAATTTAAATATGATTGTTAATTTTCAGTTTACGAACTTACATGCGATCTGAATCCGAGAAGAGTTTCGACGAATGTCAAATGAAGAGAGCAAGACTTCAATCTCTAGGTTTGGCATATTTAAGCCCCCAAAATAAGTCGTTGGCTCAAAGTTTTCGTTACATGAGACACAAGCCGACCATCATAGCTTTCAAAACTCCGAGCTTAGAAAATTGCGAGACCAAAGTTTCGTCGTATAGTATCACAATAGAAACGGTTAGCAGTCCATTACTATTTGTGGGTGGGTTTTTGACCGATTAACATAGTTCTAAACGTTATTCAAATTGTTTCAGTCGTCCAATATGGGCAGCATGGAGTTTGTGACCAACGAAAACAAGTCAAAGGAAAGATCTAAAGAAGACAACAGTAGTCAGTCGCCCATAAATTACCCTGTCGGCAAACCGCTGGAAGTGAGTTTAATGTCAGCCGAAAATTGGCTTTCGCGGTATATCAAATAACATTCTTTTCTTTCTTTTTAAATCGTTAGATCTATCTCGTTGGGCCGTACGGTGCACCGTCCAGTCACATATTCCGAGCACAGCACGCCGTGATGATAGCCACGGGCATTGGTGTCACACCGTTCGCTTCCATATTGCAATCAATCATGCACCGTTACTGGAAAGCCCGGCACACGTGTCCAAAGTGTAAATACACGTGGGCGAGTGAAATACCTCCCACGGTGATGCATCTCAGAAAAGTGAGACGAAATAGATCTAGATTATTACGCACAATATATTATTGTGTTCAGTAGGTAAAATATTATGCTGTTATTTTCACGTTGCGTGTAGGTTGATTTCTTTTGGATTAATCGTGATCAAAGATCGTTTGAGTGGTTCGTGAATTTACTGTCACAACTAGAAATCGAACAGGCTGAGCTCGGCGGCGCTATGGAGAGGTTCCTAGAGATGCACATGTATATAACTTCGGCCTTGCAAAAAACCGATATGAAAGCCGTTGGACTCCAACTAGCTTTGGATTTGTTGCACGAAAAGGTGAGAATCAATAATAACATATTGTAATCGATTCATTCAATAATAATTACAATAAAAATAAATAATAATAAATTGCTATAAACATTAAATAAATATAATATATCGATTGATTTTTAGGAAAAACGAGATTTTATCACAGGTTTGAAGACCAGAACCAACGCGGGCAGGCCAAACTGGGATAAAGTGTTCAAGCAATTATTAGACCAAAAGAAAGGAAAAATCACAGTATTTTATTGCGGTCCGCCACAACTCGGTAGACTTCTTAGAGTTAAATGCGATCAATTTGGATTTGATTTTCGAAAGGAAGTTTTTTAGAATTATAAATACGCGTAGTCCAAGCTTTTATCTCTTTGTTATATTATTAAAGCAACATACAAAACTTGTATATGCATATTTTGTGCGTTTAAGACGTGAATGTTACCATTTTGTCAAAGAGAAGACTGTAAAAATGTTACCAATTTACCATATCGCAATCAAGTATTTTATAAAATAACAACGATACCATTAATTTTTTTTGATAATTTATTTTTAGTATTTTAATAAAAGTAAGAATTTTTCTGTCTGAATTTTATAAAGTATATTATAATAATATATATATAATATATATATATACACACATATTATATTTATATAAATTGTAATAACGAATGGAATTATTTGTGTATTATTATTATTATTATTATTATTATTATTGTTTAAATTCTAAGTGTAAATATAATATATTCAATCATTTTAAACATGAACTTAATCTACAATATTATATGCATTCATGTTGGTAATTATTTTTAAAACGAGGGTACTGTCGAAATTTATGAAATATTACAAATTTAAGGTTGTCACTTAAAAAATGCCGGTAAAAATTAGGAAACTGTTGTTTTTGATTTTTAAAATTCAATTTCATCGATTAAAAAAAAACTTGCGTTAACCGACATAAGATATTATACACAATACTTATGTGTACTTAATATTTGTTTAGCGAACGTCGAACAACGAGCCGCCTCGCACAATAAACATAACAATATTATTGAGTCGTATGACGCACTCGGCTGTGTAGTGCGCTGTGTATACGTGACTTACTTATTTGTATTGTTCAACGCGGAAGATAAAATAATGTCAAAATTGCATATAGATACATAGGTATGATTCATACCGCATATGAACTTCATGACTCGAAGAAAACGAAATAAACTGATTGTCGTGGGACATTTAAAATTATCATTGAATTTAAATACTTCTATTTAAAATATTCAATGTTATTACGTCCTATACTCCTATTTCAACATCAGCAGATAGTCGTAGACGTTTTTGACTTAGTTACTTCGTCATTATCAAAGATATGCAGATATATAGCCCAATGGGTACAATGGAGGAACCTGTTGTTCACGTATTTTAAATTATAATAAAAATACATAATATACTAGGTATAAATCATTTTATACCTTCGACAAATTTACGATGATTTAATAAGTGAGTAAAGGAAAGAAGCCAATATCTCAGAACATAATACAATATCTCCACATCACTTAGGTATATCAATTTTCGACATTCAATTGTAAATATAATTTTTGTGAATCCCAATAGTCTATGCAGCTGAATAATAATAATAAAAAAAAACTGTCTTTATAATCTTATATCAAACGCTCATATTTTAATATGTAATATTATGACTCCATAAGTACTTACTTTTAACATTAAATAAGATAGTAATTAATGATATAAAAACAAAAATATTTTGATATTTCAAAATAAAGTAAGTTGTCTCGTGTATAATTGTGTATAACTTAATGATATATAAAAAAAGAATACATGGAATACTTTTCGGCATATTTAATTTATTTTTTAACCCATTATTTATAAAGCTAAAATTTTATAAAATAATGACAATTTCAATTTATAACTATGACTGAATATTTTTGTCACACATTTAATTAATTTATATGTACATTTATTTCAACTTATTTTCACAATACATATTATGGTTTTTTTTATTTTTCGTCATACTAGAGTTTGGAGTTTAAAAAAATGCAACGTGCTAAGTCGTCGCATAATCAAATAGGTAATCAAATGATTTGGCAACGTTACACGTAAATTCTAAATCCGATCTCAATAGTGTTAGTTTTTTTGGGTTGGGTAAGTGGTGGGTTGTTTATGAATGTTGGACCAAATCGATAATTTTTATTTTCTAAATATACAAAATAAGTGTTGATTGATATTGGTTTAGTGGGAAGTGTCTTGGGGATAGGGAATTGTAGAGTCAGTTGAAGCATCTGAAGGGGCTTTGAAGGATGGACAATATGACAATAATTATGTTTGAAAATATTCAATAAAATGGTTAAATGTTCCAGTTGCAGTAAGTCAGATTTTCGGCACTAGTTTCTTTAATAAACTTGTCAGAGCGTCGAGTCGTAGTAGTTGGTTCACTTTTTTTATGTCTTAGGCCCGTTTCACATATACGCGTATCATACTGGCGCATTTTTAGTTTACATTGATTAAGTTCATAAGCGTTATACCCGTGAGAGAAACGCGCCACCGTCGTCAGAGTGGCAAGTATGAATTTAACCAATGTAAACTAAAAACGCGAGCGTACGGTACATCGAGTATGATTCGCGTCCATGTGAGACGGGCCTTAGGAGTGAGTTTGTTTTCTTTAAGAAATTGTCCAAAGATAATTATTTTAGTCAATGATATTATTGTATGTAGAACGTAAAGCTGATTATATGACATTTATTACAAAAATACAAAATTTTTACTGTTGACAAAATAAGAGTAAAAAAAAGTGAGGTTACATATTATAGCAATTAGCAAGTGTGTGGATACCGAGTGTATTATTATAACGAATCATATTTCGTGATCTCGATCGAATAAAGTTTTATTTTTCATCATGGTTAAATATGAATTGTTACACATTTTTTTTAATGAAAATGTATATTATTCAATTGAATTTGAAGTATAAGACTATGATTTATTAACTAATCGGTTTATTAATATTTACTCTACCGAAATTATTTAAATATAAATTTCAACTTAAACGTAATTTACTCAATATTTTAATGGTATAACATTATTATTTATATGATAGTAAGATAATTTATAAAATATATGATACCTGTAGAAGGTTTAAATAACCCTATTGTGATAAATTAAAAAAAAATAAATAAATTTGAGTGATAATACAACTTCAACGAAGGCGTGAGAATTCCAAAGTTCTATTCTCATGCGTCCGACGATCCTGCAGCCTGTGTATCACTTGCAGCTGAGGTTTTCTAACCTTGTGCTCTTTTCACTAGTATCGCTCCATCCGATTCTCCGGATGGTTTTTTTGCTAACTTTTCTTCCTCTTCAACAGCAATTTCTCTAGTATAAATTATTTTTTCCATTTCGTCCCTGAACTTGGGTAGTGGTGTCCTTATGAATGTTGATGGTAAATCCGGTACTAACAAGAATACTTTCCACGCGCCCATGTCCATGCCTCTAAGCAAGTCCATTTCTTCATAGAAATTCAGTATGGCGTTCTCATTTTCCATTAGCGTATCGACGGAAATATTGACATCCAAGTCTTTGACTGTATTTTCATCGGTAATGTGGTCCACGCAATTTTTCAATTTCTTCAGGTTGAAACTGGTGCAGTACAGTTTCATTTCGTTGGCCACGCAAGACAACTTGATGATGTCGTTCAGAGATGTCAGCTGTTTTTTCAAGTTTTCGACGGCATTTTCCGGCATGGTCGGCGACGAAAATATGGAGTGTACCGTGCGGTACACGTTCAACAGATCTTCAAAATCTGTGGTAATAGACGACAACATGTTAATGTAGAGGGGAATGGCGTGCGTGAATACGCGTAACCGCATTTCAACATGCGACCCTCCTTCGGGGTTTTGGATCAGCCCAATAATCAGCGCCAGGTGGAAGGCCACGCGCTTGTACATCAGGCACTTAAGTGACTTCTTGACAATGGTCAGGCTCAGGTCCAGGTTATCGCCTGAATAGTATTGATCGGGTGGGATAAGTGCACGAAGTGACACTAGTGGGTCGACGTTATTGAGATTCTCCACCGCCTCTGCTACCCGTGGTGGCAAACAGTCAGTTTTTGCATCCAGTATCACCCTCTCTGACAACAAATCATCGTACAGCTTGTCTTCAAATAGGATTAAAGCGATTATCTGTTGCAGCTGCGACCGGGTCGTTGGGGCGATTACACATCGGTTGGTGATAAGTACGGCCAGGGCCAGCGACAACCAGAGGACCGGTAAACGGCGCATCGTCGTCGTCGTTGACAGTGTTTAGGGTACGTTGTGATTCAAACGAACGGACTTGATGGAAACACGTCTTAACAGCTCACTACTCCACCGCCTTTGATTTAATTTCATTTGTTGACTTCGCGTATTCGGCTTGAACTTGTTTTTCAAAACCTGTGCACACATGTGCCTGCTTACGTGTGTTCATGACTCACAAAGAGGACAATTTGTTTCTTGTAAAAAATGTGTTGTTATTACACAGTAAACAAATGAAAAAACAGCTTTAACGAGCAGCGCTCGATAGCATATCATTTTTTTCGCATCAATATTTTACGAAGAACAAAATTTAAAAACTATTATTTGGCGATTTAGCATATTATATACATATTATATACTCTCCCATTTTATTCCGAGCACACTATGGTAACGAAACTAATAGGAGAAACCACGACTATGTTCTACAATTATTTTTCTTACTGTTTTTTATTTATTTTATCGATAAATAATGACATTTGCTTATTTTTTAAGGCCATCTTTATAGCTTTATGAGCTCGAGCTCTAAACAATGACATGTATGTGCAGTAAAATATAGCTTTTGTGAAAAAGTATTATTTTGTCTGTAACTTATATTGCTATTTTAATATTGCTTGTGTGTAATTTACTAGTGTAAGAACCATTAACATTTTATTTATTAATCTAGCTTTTTAAAATTTTAAAATTTATTTTGAATGTAAGTATCTACACATACATACCTACATTTTACATTTTGTGGAACTAAATCCACACAAATTTGAAAAGCACAACTACATCAACGTAAACCTAAATTCCAACAATACCAAACATACTTTAAATTAAATTGAATGTTGTATAATAAACAAAAAAACTTTACATTATCCCAGTAGAAATGCTTTTTATCTTTCAAAATAATTAAGATCGAAAAGTGAATACATAAAAAAACTTATATAGTACACAGATCACATGATAACCCTTAAAAAAAATCTCTGGTATTGTACAAGAATAAGACATATTACAAACTATTAAAATGTAATCATCCAACATATCCAACATTTTAAAACTAAATAGTTTGAGTTAATATGGGTTTTTTGTGTATGCCCCTGTCCCTCCACTCAACCATTATAATATGCTACTGACGAACTAATATGAAATAACCACGTCTATGTTTTGCGATATCTTTCTCTTTCTCTCTACTCTATAATATATTTATTTCATTTTAAAATAATGGCATTTATTAATTTTATGACATCTTTGTAGACATAATATGGACTTCAGTTCGAAAGTGTGGTGTGTAGGTAAATAAGGCGCTGTTTGACTGTAAAAAAACAAAGTTTTTTTGGTAACTAAATAATAATTATCCTTAAAAATTAGAATATAAGGTATGTTTTAACAAATACGAATACGTTAAGATACATGCCAATCGTATACTTGTATCTATTTATATAAAATGCTAAATACCACTCACTCACTCACTGATCACTACATTGCAAAAAATACAAAGCGTACAAACTTGAAATTTGGAATAGTGGTTCCTCTAATGATTTAGTTGTGCATCAACGGTTTTGAGATACATGATGGACATTGGAAATTTGTTTTCATTTATAAATAGTATAAATGCGTAGATGTCATTGGTTACAGATTATAGTTGTAAATCGTAAATAAGTATTTTTTTTTTATGTATACAAATGGCTGCCATTAATTACTCGGGCAGATGAAGTAGAAGCATGCGTCACAATTTAGCGCTCAAGGCCTCGAATAAATAAATTATATCTTAAAACAATTAATAAGATAAGTTATTTATAAAATAATTCTTCTATATATTTGTTGTCCGTAAACTCAAAATACACAACTGATTTTAATGCAAATTCCTGATTAGGATTAGAGGTATCAGGAAATTTGTGGGAAAAGTTTGAACAATGTTCAGAAATATACCAGGGTCTCTAAAATAGTTATATGAAAAAAAAAAATATTCATAATATTATAACTTTTTTTGAAATAGTATATTATTATTTAATGGTATAATATATAATAAGTATATTTAAAAAAAATCTAATTTAAAATTATTAATTTCTTTTATTGTCAGCTATTATCATGCTTATTATAAAGTGTAAACAATATAAATACTTAACTAAAGAATAAATAATAACTCAAAATGTATGCAGGAACGAAAAGTTCTGTGCGGTCTTCCGTATTTGCCGATGTGCAGGTTTTGTATTGGATGATTGTCAGAAATATCAGTAAAAATGTTTAGCTGGTACACCGGGGTAGATTATTACATGAATGCATTATTTATACTAATAAAATTCATAAAAATAATTGTATCAATCAGAATATGAATTATTTGTATTTATTTTCTTTATTAAATTTGTTTATAATAATAATATATCTACAATACCTAAACCTTTGGTACGTCGAAATAATTATTTCATATGGTGACTTTAAAAGGTAATCCAACCTGATCTTCAAATTTTGGTTTGTCGAGAAAAATTTCCCAGACCTTAATGTCCATGGTGCTGATTGGTATGTCATCGAACATTTCCTTTAATGATTTCTGGCAATCGGAGAAAATTGCCATCGTCCTATCAACCGATTCCCATTTTTCGGGGTTGTGGAGATTTAAGTGTTCCTTTATTTTATCGATATTGTTCATCTCGCACGACTCGGTCAGCGACGTCTCGACGAGGTTCTGGAAGATTTCGAAGTCCGGTGGCAGCTGAGAGGACTTGTCCTGAGTGGCTACCACCTCCCAGCGCTGGTACAACTGAAACTCGCTCTCGAATGACTTCTTGAGCACGGCCATCTTGTCTAGAACGTTGATCAGTGTAGTCCAGACTTCTTGCGGCTGTACGGAGATGGCATCGTTCTGCAAGTCGTTGGTCTCCTTGATGGCGTGCAACTGCACCAGAATGTACATTAGCGTTTTGCACTTGATGGCCGACGCGATCGTGTCCAACGCGAAATCGAGGGCCACGCCATGATTTCTGTAGTGGGATGCCACGTCAACGACGATGTACAGCGCCTTAGCCACCACCATGTTCTTTGATTCTGGTTCTTGGCCCTTCTCCCCAGTGACTCCCGTGGCCTGTTCCTGTTCCGATTTCTGTTCCTGATTTGGTTCTTGTGCTGAATCGACCGCCCCCGTCGACATGGCATCAATCACACCCAGGCCCACGAGTACTTTATGGGCAGCGGCGGACAGAGTTTTCTTATTCAACTTGATGCCCACGTCCAGGTGTTTCGCCCAGACCTTGTCGTTGGCAGTCACATCGAGTAAGAGTTTTCGGTTGATGGCTGAGAACGACTGGACGGGCGCCGTCCACAGCACCAAAACGGTGACTACCAAAGTGGCCAAGTTCAACTCGACCTTCATAGCCCTTAATTTACTCCGTTTATACTGAGTTCACTCTGTATATGAGGTTCGCAGAGCGTGCGTGTTCAGTTCCGCTTCTTCGCTTCGGGATTAAGTGGCAACGCCAGTAGTAACGATAACCGTGCGACATAGACCTACGTGCATAGGTGTCGTGAGTGTCGTACACGCGTGTTTACACATATGTTTCGTGCGACACTGTGTTTTGTTGTAACATTTTTTATCGATGTCTGCGCTCGCTAACAAATCAACACATCTTACCTTTTGCGATTTTATGCGAAGACTTTAAACAGCTCATATTTGAACTTATCGTCATTATTTTTTAAGGTTTTTAATCCACGAAGAGTTTATTTCTTATATTATATCTTCACATTTTTTATTCACAAAACCAACATAAGTATTTATTTATACACATTTTTATATTATATAGACGAGTCCCGATTAAAGGTCACTAGGCCTCGTAACAATCCAGGCTCTCAGTAGATTGATTGTGAGTTTTTATGGATTTATTGTGACTGTTAAGTGAAATAATAATACATTTAAGCAAAACACGAGTTTAAATAACGTAACATTTTCTAAGGACAATAATATTAGAAGGTTATACTTTTGAAGGCGCAGCTCGAATTTAACGGTACTATACCATTACTCTATATCAGACTCCCTTATATATGGTGTCTTCGAATCTAAACCTATTTCTGGACCGGAGGTTTTTCTATTTGAAGTTTTTTTGGGTAGGTATATACAGGTTTCTAGACCATAAATGAATGTTTGCAACACTTTTAGAATTAGCTATTTATATATATTGAATATTGGATAGGTCTTTAAATAGTTAATAATATTGCAAATTCCATTTCCGTCGCGGTAAACCTGCGTTTTGGGGTAAAAATCCTTGTTACAATTACATGTTTACGTCTTAGGTACATGATATATTTTATTAAAATCTTGCTAACTCTGTAACACATATGATTCCGTAGAAATATCATAATATTTTTAAGACTTCTGTTTCGATATTAAACAAAGAAAAAAAAGCAACGTACATCGAGTTTTATTTAATCAATGCTCTGTAATGTTGACTTACAAACTACCAATATAGCATAAACGTTATAGATGTCTTGATTAAATTAATTTTTTTACTAAAAAACAATTAATGGGTAAGGAAGATAAAATATTACATTCAGAAACAATCCATACTATAAGGTATTATAAAAGATACATAACTTAAGTAATCTATGTCTTCAATACATTTAAATGTTATATTTAACATAATAATAGTTAAGTATTGCATTACACAAAATCTAAAAGTTATTATTTTAAAACAGAATTATAATTTATTCATAGAATAGAACATTTTTGTCTTGAATTTGAATGTAATACAATTAGTAATACGTACATCTTATATGGGAAATGTGTATTATTAATTATTATGTTTATGATAATCTTATTCAATTATTTTTTATCAGGTACTTCACTTTTACAATAGCAGATACTTAGGTACTGTAATTTATTTGTAACAAATTCGATCTGAAATCATTGTTTGAATGTCTTCAAATAAAAAGTTCCACACTTTGGCTACAATTGAATATTTCATTAAAAAAATAACACCTTTTTCGTCCACGTATTCAGAATAATATATTATTTGTCGTGCCTCATTGATCATAATTTAAGTATGAATTACTTATGATTTTTGTGTGTTACTCAAGTTGTACTTATTGGAAAACATCAATTCAAAAGTGCGTACAATAATAAAATAGTTTTTCATATAATTATTTATTTAATTATATTTTACTTCAATTTAATTTAATTATGATTTATGAACAACATAATATTAAATAAACAATTCATTATATTTAAATGAATTCTTCAGTTATTACTTTATTGGGTGCTTAATAATATACTAATGTGGATTAAGTCCCAAAAAAAGTATAATTATGGACACGATACAGCGTGTTATTTTTTTCACTAAATCATAAAAATCAATAATTTATTCAGGACTAAAAGACGAAATTATTTTGTAAAATAAGTTTATTTGATATATATCACAGTTCACAAAAAATAATGAGGTTTCGCAAAAAAAAAAAATGTACATAGGTCTAAAAATTTAATAGGTTGATATTTTTACAAATAAAAAGTACAACATTTCCAAATAAATATAATTATTGTGTAATTATTGTAGAGGTTTAGAAATTTAATTATGCAGTGATATTTATAATAATCCAACTAGTCTTTTTTTCTAAATAATTTCCTCTAAAATATTTATTTTTATATAAATAAATACTATATACCTATTATTTATACATACAATTCCATTAATTATATACTATTTTGGATATAATTCCATTATATTATAATTATATAATTATTTGTTTTAAATTTGTTTTAATTGCTTATTAATATATTATAATAATTGTAATCGTATGCGTTATATTCTTAATAAATTTTCACCATTTCTAAATATTAATATACTAGAATATAGATTTATGATCTAAATATATCTTTGAAATATTTTATATTTTTAATTATAACATTTTAGATCTTAGATATATTATAAAATATATTTAATCATACACGAAAAACTTTTATCCTTAAATGAACAATTTTTATCATTATCAACCATAGGCACATCATTATAATTAAATATACTCTTTTTTTTAAAACCCTCATTTTCAGCTAATTTTTCAGCAATGGGACTACTAAAATTACTGATTGTATATTTAAAATTATGTTTTTTTCCGACATAATTTCTCAATCCCAACAGCTGTCGAGCTAAGCCAAGTTTGCGGTAATCTTTACAAACAAATAACATTTCTGATGTAAGATAATCTTCATTGCCAATTAATTGTTCAACATAACTTTTTTTAAAGGTATTTATGAAATAAAATATTCGTTCGTAATAATTTGAATTTAAATTAGAAATATTTAATGAATTTATATTCTCACGAAATAAAATATTAAGGCCTACTAATTTATTCTCATCGTTTTCTTTACATTCAAATACACCAATTGACATTTTATGGGCTAAATATTTTTTAAACGTATTTTTAATATCTAATGCAGAAACTGGGTCATTTAATACGTTAAGACTACGATATGTAATTTCATCTGACCAATATTCATATATGAGTTTATTAATAATTTCATCATAATAATGTTCTGGTATTTCTTGGAAGACAAATTTTTTCTTTTGACCACTGTGGTCAATGTCTATTATTTTAAATATTTCCGGGAAACTATTATTCATTGTGATATGTGAGTGTATTAAAATCTGTAGTAACGTTAGTATATTATTTAAACGACAAACGGCCCAGTAAAATTATATTATTTCCTAATAATTTTATTTTTTTATCTCACGATAAACTCGATAATTTAAAGAAGGTAAGAATTTAAGAAAGGTTTTTTAAGAAGGTTTGAAAATTTTGTTCGTAGATGAACAAGTACATTCATTACGATTACTTGAGCTGATGTTTTCTGGAATACAGTTTACTGTTTATATTATTGAGAATTGTTCAGACCAACTGCACTGCTGTCTCTTCAATGTTCAAACACTGTAACAAAATGGAGTTTACAATTATAGTTTTTGTAAATTTTGTCTAAGATCCCAATCCATATCACATGATTTTTTTATGGATTTTCTTAGTATAAACTATTATGACTCGATAATTACTACAGTGCGTACATGATAGTTATTATATTATGTTATAACACATAATTATGTTGTCTCCAATTTGCAAGTGTGTAATACCTGAAATTCATGTGTAGTTACTAGTTTTGTTAGTTTTTATATTGACTTATAAAAACAATTCAAAGGTGACAACATTATCTCTGTCTATATCGGAGTTGTAAGCGAGAGACTAGAGTTTCCAATAATTCTAGTGTGAAAATCAATAATAATATGTTGATTTGATTTTCGAGTTTTGAAATTTTTGAGGATACCTACTCTTTCATATCCATTTTTATAAAATTTAATAGGTGAAATTTGGAGCACATTAAACCTATCTTGGCAAATTGAAATATAATTTCAGACTTTCGCTAATATTTAAAAACTTGTAAATAATAGTTGGTGCAATATTAAAAGGATATAAGGATATAATACTAGAATACAGTATATGCAAGCAGGTATGTCATAATAATATTTACTATACGTAGGTACTTACCACTAACAGCAGTCGAATAAACAATGTGGAGGTTACTTTTGGACTGCACTCTATCCAATCCAAGTTAACTAGTTACATAACAGACACTTAAATGACAAAAATCATCAATTAAATATAATATCAATTAGTTACAAATTGTAAGTATCTACATTGAAATAATTCTGTGTAAAATGCACAGTTTTTGAGCTCATTGCTGGTACGAAAATGAATGAATATATAAATTTCTGCATAATTACCTATAGGTATTCGATAGTGTAATGTAAAATAAGGGCGTATACCAGAATAGCTAAATTTGATAATAAAATCGTTAAGTATGTTGCGTTAATTAATATTATGTCTTAATATTTGACTTAAGATTAACTGTTTATCTTAAGAGAACGCTACACCAGATATGTGTTGTGTTTGTCTTATAAATGTACAACATTGTAATAACTGTTAAGCCCGGGATAAAAGCACTCAGGATGATGTAGTCATAGTAGACACCAAAAGTGTGTACTGCAATAGAGAAGATAATATGGTCTGTATCGTAGCGTTTTTATTTGTTTTTTATCATTAAGAGGAATAAAGTTATAATACTTATAAAAATCTGATATTTTTACATTTTCCAATCTTAAGTAACTTTTGATAAATTGGTCTTATCAAAAAATAATAACGGTCCAACACAGTTGAAATTCACCTCTATTCGTTGTAAAAATTTGATTTCTTAGTTATTAGTTATTACTTATTACTGTAGCTGTCTCGGTTATTTCTCACGCAAAATAGTTTGTGATGTTTTATATTTGTAAGACGAAGACAACACATGCGTGAGGGATACTCTTAAGAGAATTCTTCAGTGCACCGTTTCTTTTCTCTCTCTGGTTTACTCAAGCAACACTTTAAGCAAGACGCAAAATATTTTTTTTTGTATCTTAGTAATTACCATATATTAAAATTACTTAATACAATAGTTATAGAGTATACGTTTTGGAGGGTGTGACATAATATAATCACCTTGTTCAAATGTTGTCTCAAAACAATTAAAAACTAATTTATATGAAAATCGTTTTTATTTTTGAAATTAATGTACAAAGCCAAATAAAAATATAAAATAATACCAATATAATATTATGCTTTTATATTTTGAAATATTTAATCACTGCTTAATTGTGTATGGTGAAAAGTGTTAAAACTATAATAACGGAGGCGTTATATTATATTTGTTTCGGTGGCCATTTATAGATATGTACCTACTTACGTCACTAAGCAATTGGGGAAGAATAAAATAAATATGAAAGCGAGTTCTTTCAAATGTATGGGTTTAATGCACACGGAATCGAAAAAACAATAATATATTACTATACTCTATTTACCGAGAGTTGACCCACT